GATAAAAGTGTTTCAGTATATTTGGATTTTTATTTTATTATTCAAAATGTGTTTTGTATGTATAAAAAAATTTAAAAACAACAGAACAATTGCTGTTTTTTTAAGAATTAAATTTTTAATAATTATCGTAATATTTAATATTATAATATGATTATTATCTCGGTATATGCTACTTTATAAACTTTATTTGATTTTTGTGACATATACAATTTGTAATTCATATAAAAACATGTTTAATAATGCTTTTAATTTATATAATAACAAAAATTAAATTCAACAATATTTTTTTTCCGACCACAAAAATGTACACACAATTTTGTTCTGTTTTCTCTCACACATACTAACGCATTTTAATTTTGGGCACCTATGGACAGAAGGCATTCTCGTATTGATTGAAGCTTTCCATGGCGATCCTATTGAAAGAATATGGTCGCTATTGTTTTTTGATAATGATCGGTTTGTTTTTGGCGGATGAAATGGTCGCTCTAGAGATCCCAATTGTGACCTGAACATCACGAAATTTTACACAGAAAAAGGGGTCCGTTCATGGAATATGCATGACTTTTTGGTGAAGATTTGAAAAATGACAAATCGTGCTACTATGGAGTATATGTTTGCTCCTGAAGGACATAGAAGTTAAAAGTATATCCAAAAGAAGTAAATGACCTTAACATTGATACCAATTATATTGTTGTTAGTATTTCGGACGTTTATTTTGCCTTGATCTAGGTTGAGTAGATATAATAGGTCTTGCACAGTTTGGTTCAACTCGAACATTCCAATCGCTGTATATTGAATTTATTCGGACTTGATAAATCGCATGATATTATAAAATTAATTTTTTGCACTATATTTTCTATATTGTGGAGGTGGTATCGGAAGGTGAGGACCGATATTCCTCTTTTCGAACTTGAACTAAGTTTATAATACATATTACGATGTGCAAAATTTGGATGATATCGGTTACTCCTTCGAGAGTTATCGTGCACACCAGCCGGCCTGGGGGACGGACATTTGTATATTGACTCCAAATTGTCTGAATCGAATTTGGTTCAAATAAACATGGTGTCTATAACCAACATTTTGATGAAGAAAATTTTTGCGGTATCAATGTGTATATTTTCTATCATTAGCCGAAGGCTGAAAAAAATTCTCAACACAATGGCTTCAGACGGTACCGTTCAAGTCCGAAAGAAATCGGCATTAGATTGGGTGAAAATATAGATTTTTATTATTTAAAAAGGTACCGGACTTTTCAGCCTTTGTCTTGTGATTGTTATACCCTTCACCACACTGCGGTATAGGATATTATGTGTTTGTGCATAGGTTTGTAACAGGCAAAAAGAAACGAGATAGACACGATGAGAATATGCATAGAATCCCTTTTTAAGTCGATTTATGCATGTCCGTCCGTCCGTCCGTCTGTCCATGTTAAATTGCAAACAAAGTACTGGTCGCATTTTTAATTGGAATTGGATGAAATTTGGCACAGCTCATTTTTTGGCCCAAGGACGAACCCTATTGAAATTGGGAAAAATCGGTTCAGATTTAGATATAGCTCCCATATATATTTTCGTCCGATTTTTCATAAATGGTGCACCAAACTCATAATGTTTGTCCGATTAACAACTTATTGGTTAATTATGCATTTCAATAGATGGCGCTGTTTACACGCATTTGACAGTATTGCCGCTATAAATTGAAATACAAGGATAATTTAGAAACATTTTATTTCAAAGTATATTTTTAGGTGCATCAAAGTCTTAAGCTTTCTTGAAATTATTTCGCCCTCCGGATAAGATTGATTAGTCAAAGAATGTGCAGAGTGTGGATGAATTCGGTTATTCCCTTCGAGAGTTATCGGGCCCACCCGCCAGACAAACAGACGGACGGACATTAGTCAATCGATTCCAAACTGTCTGAAACGGATTTGGTCGAAAGAAACATGGAATCTAAAACCAATATTTCGATAAGGTGTATTTTTTGTATATAACCTCATTAGCCATTAGGCTGAGGGTATAAATATTCGAGATACTGGTAATGGAGCGGGATCTTCATATGGGAGCTTCATTGAAACAAAGAATTTTAATCTGGTCGAGAATATTCAATTCTTTATGAGGTATCCGTCTAAAGAAAACTCTTGCCTATTTTGTTCGCTGGGTGTACTCGTATGTGAACGGACACAGAAGGTGTATTTTACACTGATTGTTAATTACAATTATTACCGCAACGTGTTTAACACTCGCACTACAATCAGTTGTACACAAAAATGGTTTTGTTGTTCGATTATAGCTTTCGGTGTTAAATGCCGGGGTAAAATGCAAAATGTTGAACAAATACATACACAGGTAAGTATTCATTCAATATATTCTTAATGAGATGTTATTAATTTGCGATGCACAAGTGTGACTTTTCGTTATTTTGGAAAATTGAAATTAACACAGACAAATTGAATTTAAGAATGCCTTTTAACATAACAACATTGAATTGAATTTTCAAATTCAACGGTATAACCTATAAGGATACAAGTCAGTGTATTATTATTTTTACAATCTCTATTATTCAGTTTTATTTGCATCATTTTGTAATAGTCATCAGAGACCTCATAAAGCTTATATTCTTGTCCGACTATCTGGTGAAATGACGATAGAGATGGTAATAGTAATGATATAATTTTGCAAAAACATAGTTACTATCCTTCGAATGTTTGGTGTTGAACATGGGATAGGATCGTTTCAATTTTCGTTTAGCCTCTATAACGGATTCTCCATTTTCTTACTCCCTACTACTTCGGGTTAAACGAGTCTAACACTTGCTTTCATTTCAACACAAACACGCCAATGAGAAATTCACAATATCACGAGAGTAGCATTGCAAATTTCATCCAGATGGGAAATCTTATATATATAAAAATGGAGAAAGAAAAATGTATACTAACGCATCAATTGAGAACGGCTGGACCGATTTGACTCAACATTTCTTTAAGTTGTCGGTAATTATAGTGGGAAGGTTTTTATGAAATAAAATTATGAGAAAAATCCGCGAAAATCTTGCAAAAATTATTTTAAAGAAACGGCTGGACCGATTTGACTTAAAGTTTCTGTTAGTAGTCTGCAATTGAAGTGGAAAGGTTTTAATGAAAGAACATTTTAAGAAAAATCCGCGAAAATGTTGCAAAATATATTTTGGAAGATATTAGCATTTCCAAACATTTTATACCGAACATTTAAGGTTTCATCTCTTCGTAGTTCTTTTTGGACATATTGTGGTCGAAAATGTAATTGTCAATTATGGAAAATTCTCAAAATATGCTAATTTTCTATAATCAATTAGATTGTCATTGACTTAAAAAAAAATGCTGTATGTTAGTCTCGCTAAAACTCGAGAACGGCTGAACAGATTTTTCTTATCTTACTCTTCAAATGTTCGTGGAGCTTTAGGGAAGGTTTATATGGTGAGAAAAAGTCGAAAAACGCAAAAAAATATTATGAAGCATATTTGCATTTCCACGAATTTAGTATCGAGCTATTATGATTGCCCCACGTCGTAGTTGCTATTTTGAGATATTTGGGCAAAAATTGATAGCGTATCAATCCTTTAAGCCTTCATTTGTCAATTATTGAAAATTTTGATTTTTTTTTTTAATTTGATTGACATTGTATTGAAACTTTTTTTGTGAAAATTCAAAAAATAATTGAGAATATATCATTGAATGTACACGCGATCATTTTATGTACACGTTGTCCATAGAATGCACGTACATTTTGGGACAAATGCAAGGATAAAAATCAGAAGATATTCGCAATAGATCATTTTTCTTAAAATAAGAATAGTAATAGTTCTATAAGGACACGTTGTTCTTTAAAGCACTTAAAATGTTGCTATGGCACGGGAAATATCAAATCAGGTGGTACCATTATATGGTGGTTATATGCCTAATCGTTGGTCAATGCCTTTGAACTTATAAACACAACACCTCGCATATATCCGATACCACAAATGTGTATCACAGAGAAAACTAATATACGATGCCATTTTCTGTGCAAAATTCATTAAGTTGATATAAAAAAAGTGAACCTGTGACTATAAAATTGCAAATACCTTTGATATATCAACTAAACTTAAATCTAACTTTTCATATCTTCTAATATGTAGATTCCTTAAATTGGTCGGGAAATTTATATGGGAACAATGTTACAACACTATGTGATAGTAGGTTGCCCATGCTCTTTAAAAATAATATACAGACACTCACGTTGGAAAAAGCGGGTAAGAACTTGAAATATGGCGCCTTTTTAATACTTTAGGCCAACTCTATGAGCAAATTTGAACCAAATAACATTACGGCCACCTTGGTTGACACACTGGAACAAACTCCCCAAAGTACCGAATATTTTGGGTACCGTTATATGGGAGCTACATCAAAGGGTGGACCAATATATATACTTTTAGTACGATTCATTCTACCAAATAAAACAACCATACACCAAATTACTGCCGATTAGATTTAAAAATTATATGAGGGATATTTGGAAGCTTGGGCGAATAAAAAATTTCAGCCAAATACCGAATATTAATGGATACCGTTATATGGGAGCTATCCGAATACTTGGGTCAATATTGATATTATTAATTAGGGTGATTTTCTGCTCAATTAAATTTACTTTCCACAAATTCAATAATTCATAAACTTTTATCTACAGAAACTTTAGAAGACAAAAATAACAAAATGACTCGCTCATTAACCACAAATTGCACTTTAAGTGTGATCTGATAAATACCAAGGTATTACAAAAATTTGTACAATCCACCTTATGGAGGAGGGTATAAAAACAAACCTAGAACGCCGAAAATTATACATCAACAATATTGCTTGGCAAGACAACGTTTGCCGGGCCCGCTAGTTATATATATAATCACATTCCATTTTGTAAGCAATTCCTTTTTAAAAAGTTTATTTTTCCGAAAGGTGTTTTACTCTTATTAATATTACATCGTCTAATATATTCCATATTATAGGGGATAATTAAGCAGTACATCCTGTCGAGCCAGCTCCAATAACATAGGATCATCAAAGAATTTATTAATCGAGACATCCTCTGAAAGGCCCTTACGTCTACGGGTTTTAATCATAAATTCACGGGCCAAGTGGGATGCCTGTTGAGGTTCCAATGGTCGTATAACAATTGATTTATCCAATGGATCGCCGGGAACAATTTGCCAATGATGGAAAACTGATAGACAAAATGCTTGACCCTGTGTATGGGTACGTAAATCTGTTTCGAAACCAAAGGAATCAATGGCGGGAATGAAAGCTTTAATTGTGTAGAGGGGTGAACCGGAGACGGGAGCATCTTGCGTTACATGGCCTCTGAAAAATGAAATATGGAGAAATTAATATAAATTCCATATACATACAAATGTTAAGTAATCCTACCTTCTTCTGGCCAACACAGTGTATACCGCAGAAACACAATCAGCTGGAGCTTGTACTTCAACAAACAAATAGGGTTCCATCAATCTGGGTGTGGCCATAAGGAAAGCCGAATATGCCACTCTCCTAGCTGTGGGTATAACCTGGCCACCACCACGATGTAATGCCTCATTAGCAATGACAGCATCCAGAATTTTAAACTTCACATTACGTATGGGCTCTTCACACAATGGACCTTCTCGTGTACCCCATTGGAAACCTTGTACAATGGAATCTTTAACGGACGTCAACAGAGTTTTATCTACTTCTGATGGAAGCGTGTCATCAACTAAAATATTGGGTCCAGTTGAGTCAGGACCAAATGCCCAAATGGAACGAGCCGCCAACAAATCCCAATCATAATTAACTTGGAAAAATTCTCCAATACGTTTTTTATTCCAATTAATTGAGACCACCTCATTCTCAATGTCCTCGGCCAAACCCTTTTCTAATGGCTCCGCAATCATGGTGATTTTATTTTTCTTATTCGGCGTTTCGGCAAAACATTTCAGGGAACTTGTCTCAACAACTGTTTCACAGAATGCCACAACTGGATCGGCAACTTTTATATCAATTTCGGAATACATTTTACGCAAATCGTGCATAACGCAATCCAGATATAATTCGCCAGTACCCAAAATAACATGTTCGCCAGATTCTTCGACACGGGTTGAAAGTAGAGGATATGATTTGTTGACTTTTCGCAGGCCATCTAACATTTTGGGTAATTCAGAGGGATTTACAGGTTCAACGGCAATTTTTATAATACTTTGTGTATTAAATTTCAAGGGGCGGAAAATGTACAAATCATCGGCAGCATTTATATCGACAATTGTTGAGGTTTTGACGATGCTTTGATCAATGCCCTCAATGAGAACCCAATTACCGGCTGGAACACGATTCAATTCTACTTTATAGCGAGCCTCATAGACCCACAAGCGTCCAACTTGTAAGACACGTGAATCTTCTTCATCTTGCAGGGTGTAATTTTCACCAAGAACTCGTACCTCTTGGCCGGCATGTAAAGTACCGGAAATTACACGAGCCATGACCTAAAAAACGCGTCACAAAAATAAAATAACAAAATTTGAAAAGAGATCGAAAATTTCAGAGTGCAAAAAAAACTCACCTGAAAGAAAGTACAATCATCGGTAGGATACATTTTGGCACTGTGTACCAGAAGGGAACCCGTTTGATTACATTGTATCATATCACGATACATATCACCTTCCTTTGGTCCAGTATAAACATGATCCACCTTGCGTTTGGCATTATCCAACGGTGATGGTATATGTTCGACACACATACTTACAAAACCACTAAAATCGCCCAAAAAACGATTACAAACCAAACGCAAGAGGGGTCTTATATTCGTTTTCATTTCCTCCTTTGTTATACGAATATTCAATTCAGCTAAAGTATCCGATAAGGTGGAATCAACATCACCCACAACTTGGGCAATTAACTTATACATTGGTTCCAAAATAAATTCAACAAAACTACGTTGTGCTGAATTGTGTGGTGGTTTCTTGGTAAATTTACGTCTATAAAAAAATACAACAGAAAATATTATAATAAATGTTATATATTTCTAAAATATAACCACACTTACGATTTACTATGGAAATACATATCACCCCATAGGCGCTTGGAGAACTCCACATAATTGACACCCTCGTAGGTGTCAGCATATAATTTCGCAAACGATTTCAATGTAAAACATATACCATAAAGGGAACTGGCAAAGCAGACATTACCCAAAACGGGTGACACCAATTGTGTCTCCTCGGCATTGCCGTAGGTACTCAACAAACTGTTGACTTCTTCGACAATGTGTTTCAACTTGAAATATGCATCTTGGGGTGGTAATTTCAATTCCAAAATTAAACGATCAATCTGAAAATAGAATTTCAATTTTATTAATATTAATTTTTTGGTCAGGTCGAACTTTTAATATCCTTCGTTATAAACTGCACATTGAAAATGCCTGAAATTGGATCCTTAGATATGGTTATGTCATAACAAGGATCTACAACATGCAGAAAGTAATGTAGGATCATTATGGACATGGATCTATATTGACATTTTTCTGCGAAGATGTTTTCTGCCAACCAACCAAGAACTCCGTATGTCAAATACAGAAACACCTGTTCAGGCAGAATCATAAAGTGGAATGTGACCTTAAGATGGGGGCTAACTATTTATATTTTTGTGGTATTTTGTTCCTGTTCGGAATCCTCTGTTTTCAGGATCAAAAATATTGCAATCTGGATCCGCTGCGTCCAAAGATGCTGCATCTTTTCAACTGTCCAAGTTTACATGCAGGGTATCGTGATGTCAATTCGGGCACAATGTGAATGGTGGCGGCTGAACCACCCAGATCTTAATTGAGCTATAACCATTCTCCAATCTCGTTTGTCTGAGACATTCTTTTGCTGCTTTGGGTGGTGGGTGGACTTCAAGAACTGCATTCACGTGATATTGATTCATCGCCAGGGTAATTGTTTCCTTGTATTCCTGCTCGATACGATTACCTTTTATGACGTTGGACTCTGTCTAGATCGTGTAGGTGTCTCCTTACGCACTTGTATGGGGAATCCTATTCATAAGGTGATGACATGGCTTTAGCAACCAAGCAGGTACCGCATCGACAACATCCTTTGCGTGACTAAATGTAACAGCAGTTCTATCATCATTTACTCCTGGATTCGAGAGTGACATAACCGTTGCTCATAACTTACTTTTTCCGGTTTTGATATTGCTAAGCGTCAGGCGGTCTAGTCACCTTTTCCGCTTATGCTCACATACTTATTCGTTAACTTCAAGCGTGAGTTCTTTCACCAGTGAAACTTCTGGTGTCGTACGACGAAGCTCATCACGCTTATTCGCAAGTACAGTCGCCTCTGCTGGGAAGTTTGGTTTTTCTTCGGGTATTTATCCAGCCGGTATAGAACTGGCGGATACAGCAGTGATGATGTCTCGGAAATTCCTCTCATCTACACGAGTTTTGGCGGATGGACCTCTCTGAAGCGGTTGAAAACTTTGATACCTTATCAATTTACTAGGGGGTGAAAATGAGAGACATGGGAGATAATGGGATAAGTATCTGAGGATTGCCAGACTACGTCATTTATCAGACCCGTGACACTATGGGTCCACGTTTATGTGCAACCCTCATATAATGGTTCCACTAAATTCGATTTTTCAATATATTGGAATTTTCTGTAATTTGGTATTTTGAACTTTGATTGGTTAGCAAATCATCCCAACAAACAATTATCAATATTGGTCCACATTTTATTTGAACTGACAAATATCTCGCCTGTTCTTCTTCATCACTATGTTCATCCCTTTTTTCGTGTTCACATTTTTTCATACCCTTTCTTGCCAACAATTTTGACAGGCTCCTCTTTAATATCATAGTGAGCTCTAAGCATTTCTAATACATAATCCGCAACTTACCTTATTAATGCAAACAGTTATGGCCATTTTCTCTTGCACGGCATGCTTTAGCATCCTTTCAGTATTTAACATAACACCCTCAGCAGCATCAACAAAGACGACGACACCATCACACAAACGCATTGCCGCAGTAATTTCATCGGAAAAGTTCACATGACCGGGTGTATCGAATATATTCATGAGATAACTTTTCGTTTTGACATCCTGCAGGACCACTGTCACTGGTGTTGCTTTAATACTAACACCACGTTCTTGTTCCGTAAATAGCGTATCAGTATAACGCAGCGAACGCTCCTCATTCGAATCAAATTGTGGATGGGTCTGACGTATAAGACAATCGACAAATGTCGTCTTGCCATGATGTAAATGACCAATTAGCGCTACATTACGAATGAGTGGCGGTGTATCCATTAAATCAGCCATAAATTCCATATTGTAGGTGGTCTCCGGTAATTCTTGTTCTTTAATTTGAAATTTCAACTTTTTGACGGGTTCTATTAGTGGTTTATCCAATGGTTGAGCATCTTCCTCCTGGACAATGGTCTCCACATCTGGACCATATACCTCCACTGCGGTGGGATAATAACGTTTATCTTCATGCAAAACAACTGCCGTCACTTCTTTATCCTCATCTTCATTTTGATCTTCTTCCTCTTCCATGGCATCATCCTAGGCGATAAAAACAATTTTTAATATAACATTCCCATTTCTAAAAACACACACACACACTTACATCACGTTCATCCTGATTATCTTGCTGGCCATAAATACTTTGGTCATCATCGTCGTCACTGTCCAAATCGGGACCAATGTAATTACCAAACTCATCATACAAATCTGAATCCATTGTGGTGCTTCTTTAAATGGTTTGTGTGCCTGTAAAAGAAAAAAGCGTGCACAGAGGCATTTCGGTAAACGTTTATAGAGATTTTAGTGAACTGCTCTTAAACGGGGGTTATCTACTCCACAATCAATAAATATTAATTATCAATGGCCACTGATGTTTATTTACCTTTAACTTATTAGTTTTAAATGTAAATTAATATTAATTTTTATAAAAAATAATCAACAACACAATTTAGCACCACAATGCGCGTTCACAGTAAACAGAAATCGTTTGGTGTGTTTACTCTTGCCAAATGTCAAAATTCTCACAATGCCGGCCGATGTGGTATGTTCAGTGTACAAGTAGTGTTGTAAAGTGTTTATGGCGATTTCAAATGATTTAAAAGCATACTTGTGAAATGTAATTAAAGGAGGTTTATGTCTATGCTAAATTTGTTGTTTTATAACCTAATTCCTATTTTATTTTATATTCGATAATCCTGACATTTGTAGGAGAGGAACCAAATATGTGGTTAGTATAAATATTTAAGTCAGCAATGTTTGGGCCACGCATACCAACTTATTCCAACTTGGATACTTAATATAAATTTACAAGTTTTCAAAATTGACACCTTGTAAGAGAGGTACTAGAAAGAGAGGCCCGAAGATGGGACCCTTCGTTCTTGATCTAGATTTTGTAAGACAGGCCCTAATTACTGTAAAGACTTGTTAATAAGTCCGACTTTTGTCTTCCCAACTACATCCTTCCCACTATACTTCCTGGCTGTTACCGGAAAATACGACACCGAATGCTGAGCTGTTTTTTATACCCTTCACCACTCTATGGTACAGGGTATTATGTCTTTGTGCATATGTTTGTAACAGGCAAAAATAATCAAGATATACCAATGGTTCCTTTAGAGAATATGCATAGAATCACTTTCTGAGTCGTTTTATGCATGTCCGTCCGTCCGTCTGTTGGTGTTAAATTGTAAACAAAGTACAGGTCGCATTTATTATCCGAATTGGATGAAATTTGGCACAGCTTATTTGTTTGCCCCAAGGACGAACCATATAGATATATCTCTCATATATATATTCGTCCGATTTAAGGTAATGGCACACCAAAAATGGTGCACGAAATTTGGCAAAGCGTACTAAATTAAGTCTAGAGTGAAAATCGGTTCATATTTAGATATAGCTCCCATATATAGCTTCGCCCGATTTTAGGTAAATAGTCCACTAAAGTCCCTGTAAATCTTTTGATTTGCACGAATTTTGGCATGGCGTACTGAATTAAGTCTAGAATGATGTGTGGTTAGTTTCATGAAAATCGGTTCAGATTTAGATATAGCTCCCATATATTGTTTCGCCCGATTTTAGGTTATTGGTGCACCAAAGTCCCTGAACTTTTTTTTTTTTTGCACGAATTTTGGCAAATCTAGAATGACATGTGCTAAGTTTCGTTTCAAATTTAGATATAGCTCCCATACATATTTTCGTCCGAGTTTATATGATTGGTGCACCAAAGTCCCTATATATCTTTCGATTTGCACGAATTTTAGTATATGGTACTGAATTAAGCCAAAAAGGATGTTCCTAAGCTTCGTGAAAAGATCTATAGCTAGGCCGATTAACACAACTTACTGATGTAATATAAACCAGTAAGGAAAGTAGTAAAGACGGACTGGGCCGACTATATTTTGAGCCCACAGCTTGACGTCACCTTGTTGATTTGAGGGTAGAGTGCTGATGACAGTGAAACCATCATCCTCTTTATTTGACATTAGGCATCGTCTAGGACGTTATCATATCTTATGTGGAAACTGTTGATTCTCCACCGAGTCTAAAAAATAATTCGCTTGGGTGCTGTTGTCGCCCGCTGGGACATTCGTGAACATACGCTCTTTGATATTTGAGAAGAGTCAGAGTCCTAGCACAATTGAGACACAGGATGATAATACAGCCACACCATCATCAGCCGAAGAATTTGGTTTCGTTTTTTGGGGGGAATTAAAGTTTTAGGACTCCATAGACATTGGTTAAGTGGAGGATCTGATGTCGACAATGGCAAAGACGGATTCCGCTTTAGATGATACTTCCAACTTAGTTACCGATGCTCCCCACAGTAGCGGTTTGCCTTAGAAGTGGTGGCTTGTCGACTGAAGCCGACGGATTCCGCTTTAGATGAGCTCACAGCTTGACGTCCCCCCTTCATTTGACATTGGGGTATCATCCCATATGTCATCTAGGACGTTCTCCTGTCTTAGGTGGAAACTGTTGTATTCTCCAACGAGTCTAAAGAAGAATTCGCTTGTGCGGTTCAGATTTGCATTAATGTCGCCAACATCGATGCAAAGACGACAAACCGCCACCAGCATTTGGCGTCCGTAGACATTCGTGAACATATGCTCTTTGATTTTTTAGAAGAGTCCGAGTCCTAGCACTGATGGTGTGGTGTTGGTTTCATTTTTTGGGGGAATTAACAAAGTTTTGAGACTCCATAGGCATTGGTTAAGTAAAGGACCTGATGTCGGCCATGGTAACTAAACCTAGTACTGATTATGGCGCCCAATTATCGATGAGGCTCCGTTCGAAATCTGGAGGTCTTCTTATTGAAGAGCTGAAGTTTTCCTAATTTAAGAGCTGGAAGACATTTTCTAGAAGAGCAGGAGGATCTTCTCTAGAAGAGCTGGATGATCTTCTTCTAGATGAGCTGGTCTTCTTCTAAAAGAGCTAGAGGTCTTAATTATTCAGAGTCTTCATATAGAAGAGCTGGAAGTCTTCTTATTGAAGAGTCTGCTTCTATAGAAACGTCTTCTTATAGAAGAAGTGGAAGTATGTTACCTATATAAAAGGTGAAGGTCTTCTTATAGAAGAATTGGAGGTCCTCTTTTAGAAGAGCTAAAAGTCTGTTTCTTATAGAAAATATGAAGGCCATCCTATAGAAGAGCTGGTAGTCTTCTTATAGAAGAGCTGGAAGTCTTCTTATAGAAGAGCTGGAAGTCTTCTTATAGAAGAGCTGGTAGTCTTCTTATTGAAGAGTCTGCTTCTTATGGAAAAGGTAGAGGCCTTCTTATAGAAGTGCTGGAAGTCTTCTTATTGAAGAGTCTGCTTTTTATAGAAAAGATGGAGGCATTCTAATGGTAGAACGGGAAGTCTGCTTCTTATAGTAAATATGGAGGTATCCTTAGGGAAAAGCTGGAGGTCTTCTTATAGAAGAGCTAAAAGTCTGTTTCTTATATAAAATAGAAGGCCTTCTTATAAAAGAGTTGGAGTGCTTCTCATAGAAGAGCTGGATTTTTGGAGGTCTTCCTCTAGAAGACCTGGAAGTCCGAAGATCATTTACACTTGAGACCCTCCCTTTATACCCGCTGACTGTCTGTGACTTTTGATTTCATTCACAGAACATCAAAGAGAGAATTCGTACAGAATAATCTCAAGCACCAAATTGAGCATTCGTTAGTGTGCTGCCGTAGTCAAAAATAATGGTTACGCTGTCGAATACTAAAAAATTTGCTTATTTATAAGAAACAATCAAAAGTTGCTTTAGTTTTGACCAATTGGGTCAATTTATTTTCCATAGAGTATTTTTTTTCAAAATAAATTTTATGTATGTTTTTTGTTGTTGTTTTGTTTTTTATTTTTGAAAAAAACTTCGCTATAGGTTTATTTTTAAAAAGAGTTTCCATAAATGACAATTCAGTTGCTTTAGTTTGGCCGCCAGTGTATATACCAGTTCTCGCAATGATTCATTTCTAAGGACTTGTACACAAACAAACCAAAATGCTCAATAAAGTAATTACGATATTTTTAAAGGACAAATAGTATGGCTAAATCCTCGTATAGATACATTTCCCTAGCTTATACCATTGATCTTCTCGAGATTAAAACCTCATCGATATTTACGAAATCTTGTGAAAATGAGCATCTTTGAAAATATTCAATACGTTTTGTTTTTCCAGCTTTTCAAACATTGACAAAATCCTAGATTACAATTGTCAAAACATGTTCGCCGTAGAAACAAAAGAAAATTCTTAGTTTTATTAAGAAAACAATCTCAGGCCACTCAGTAAAAAATAACAATGGAAAGGAAATTGAAATTCGTTGCGCCTGCAGGACGTGCAATTTTGAAGCTGTACCATATAATTGCAAAATATTACATGAAAATACGGTACTCTTTTCTTAAGTTTATGATTTGAAAATTCTAACAGTCGCATAATGGACTGGACCTACTGGAGTTTCCTCATAATAAATTGCCCATGCCACCAAGTGGTTTTCTTATGAGAACAATGGGAGCATGAAATATTGGATTTCTGGCTCATTAGTAAAAACCTAAATAGATACACCTTTATAATACCACACACACATACCGTAAAAGGATGACAACTACCTGTAGATTTTACAAATTGTCCAAGTGTTGTTGGTGGACAATGCAAGACGGGCAGGTAGTATCTATGGCTAATATAATCTCTTACTTAGGACCTTAGCAAGGAATGCAGCAGACAAAAAACCCCTTTTTATGATGACAACGACATGGAAAAATAAATGTGACTATAAGTAGGCATTTTTTGTTGGCCGTAAACAGGTAAACAAGTCATTACCAAGAATTTAGACAAAAAAAATGTCCGCTCTTATCTCAAACATTTAAATATGTAGTCAGTTGTACAAAACCTCAACAGTTATCATTAAACATCGTTGTCATAATGATGTCCTCTAAATTATTCTTAATAATTTTTACAATTAACTCTTTGTTGTGTGATAGCAGCAGGGCCGAATTTTTACCACGAAATCAGCCATTGTTAAAAAGTGAAACGCCATCGCCATTAAAGGATAGATTGATGTCCTTGGGACAGATATTAAATATACCTTCGATTGTGCGACAACGTCGTTTTGATATGTTCAAATCAAGAGATGAATTTATTCATTTGGCTGAAAATTATATACGACATCGTAAACCGTATAATTACAAAGTCTATCGACCATACGTGCCAGGATCGAAAGCCCCAGCTAGTGGATTTGGTAACAATTATGTTGCTAATATATTACAATCGTTACAGTTTTTAAATGCTTATGTGAAACCAACAACGGAGGGCCCCAAAGAATCCATAATACAGACTTCTAGTGCTGCTCCGCAAGTCAATAAAGAAAATGTTGAAAACTCAACAGCATCAAATAATTTCGAGCAGACTTCTGAAGCGTCACCACAAAAACCTACAACGGAGTTACCCATCGAAACAACAACAATCCTTAGTGGAAACCCATCTAATGTTGGATTGAATAATAATGAAACCACAAATAGTTCGGAAGTGTTTACCACCACTATTGTACCCTCACTAGATGGTAATACCGAATCTTCAGTATCGGAATCTACAACGGAAAATATTGAGACCACTACAATCTACGAAAGTACTACAACTTCAGAGCCAGCCGGAGAGACTACCACAGATCAAACTCCAATTGAGAACTCCACAATTGAAAATGGCGCCCAATCTCATACTACCACAGAAAATATTGAATCAAGTACAACATCTTATATTTCAACAACAGAAGAAAATCTAATATCAGAAAGCGCACACTTTCCTGAAAATATCCTGACGGAACAGCATATCCTTGAATCTACTACTCAATCTATTGGCAGCACAACAACCGAGGGTTATGATACCACAACGCAAATAGATTCCTTTGAAACCACTACATATGCTGAATATGATTCAACCACCCAATCAGGATCCACTGAAACCACCACAACACGTGGATATGACTCCACAGCCCAAACTGATTCCGCAGAAGCCACCACAACCAATGAATATGAGTTCACAACTCATACAGATTCCTTTGCAACCAATCCATATTCAGAAAATTTAATTTCAAAAACAGAAACAGATCCTTCTACGATCATCGAGATTAATTACGAAGATTCCACAACATCGAAAACATCTACGGAAAGCTATTCTACAACTGAAATTACCCCCGAAGAAACCAATCCAACCATAAACCTGGGATATGAAACCACCACAGAACACGTCATTAATTTAACAACTGACTCAGTAACGACAGAAAATTATCAGGAAGCCACCACAGATTCCTATGGGATCGCTAATGAACCTCAACAGTCTACCACCGCAAGCTTGACAACAGAAAATTATTGGGAGGAAACTACAGATTCATATTCCACGACGGACACACTCACTGAGTCCACCACAACTTCTACAATGCTTCTGGATTCGAGCACAACAGAAAAACCTCATGATGAAACCTCAACAGAGAACATTTCAGAATTTACATCAACAACTGAACCGCTGGATATCTCTACCGAAGAAACTACCTCGGCAAAATATGATGAAACCACTGAATCAAGTACCGAATATACTATAGATCGTACAACAACCGTTGAACCCCAAGAAACAACCACTTACAGTTCTGTAGATGAAGAACCGATGAGCGATTCAGCTCAATACGCTGAAACAACAACAACAGGGTCAGATTTTCAGACAACAACTGAAGACATTTTTGCAACAACAACGATAGAAAATGTTCTTGATATTTCATCTCCCCCAAAAAAGGATGAAGAATTCAAACCACAGTTCGATGATTCGACCACAGACTCTATTAATTATACGACAACAGAGAAAGCGTTATTAGACGCTGCAATGACTGAGCAGAACGGTGTTACCACAGAAGGTGACGTCTATGAGAGTACAACCGATAATACCGCTCCCAATTTCACCACGGAAGAAAGTATCTCTGAAAGCACAACAGATTCCATTACTGATAAGCCGACAACTGTGACAAGTGATGATTTCACCACAGAATATTCATCAACTGTTTCAATTATCGATAATGCTACCACGGAAATGCATCAAGAACCCACCACCGAAGAAGGACTCGCCGAAAGCACGACAACTTCTAGTAACGATGAAGCTATCGTCAAAATAAATTACGAACTTACAACAGAAGAAACGCTCTATGAGAGCACAACATCAACCACTGAAGAGAACACAACAGCATCAACTAACGACAAGACTACCACAGAATTAAATGAAGATCTCACCACCGAAGAAGCAATCTCCGAGAGCACAACAGCATCCACTGTCGATAATACTACCACAGAGATAACAGAGGATCTCACCACAGAGTCGATAATCACAACAACTGAGAAACAAAACTCAACAGAAAGTACGACAAAGCTTAATGAAGAAATCACAACAACCCAACTGCCATTGAACGATTCCGAAGTAAACACCGAACGATCTCAAAATGAACCCCTAAATTTGAATAATCTTGAGAAAGTAAATCAGTTTGATCACATTCAAACCACCACACCAAGAGAAGATTTGCCAATTCTTAAAGACAAATCATCAAGATCTTTACCAATGGTAGCATCATATCGCAAACCGAAAACCATAAGATATTCAACTGATGTTATGCCTTCTCTAGATTAATAAGTAGTTAATAAGTTTTATTTTAATTTTTAATTAGATATGTTATATATAGATAATCAAGAAGTAATTATTATTTATTTACATTATTATAAGAAAATTAAAAAAAAATATCTAAACAAATTTTGCCTATATGATTTTAAAGCAGAATACCTTCACCGAATCAGGGTGGGAATGTCGATTTCTATTTTGGCCGGGCCGAAGTTGTTATACCCTTCACTCCCTACATGAATATAGAGAGTTTTTGGTAAGGAGATTTGAAAAAGTGTCGAAATACAAAAAAAAAAAAATGAAAATAGAGGATACCATAATATGGGTCCTATGCCCCTTTCAGACCCAAAAAAATTAATATATCTGATGTGAAACAGCGACCACATGTTGAGTTCGTTCCTAGTTTATTTTTATAGCCTATGTTCTAGATGGTTTGGGCACCCTCTTGAAATGAAATTTTTTCACAGTAAATTTGTTTGCAACAGCGATATCACGAAATGAAATCCTGTATACCGCTCTGACTCTGGAAGATATAGCAGATTTATTATATGTCAGCTTCAAGCAACTTTAACCCTTTATGGCCCAATGTTGCCCACAGGCAACAAAATGTTTTAGAGCTTATATTTATTATACAGCTAGTAGATATGCATTATATGGATTTCCTATGTCGAGACCCGATTATGGACAACCCATATCAAAAGAAAAATCAAATTAGAGAAGAGGGCGGAGATGTGTACAGTATAAATTTATGTATACAGTCCAAGTTATTTAAATCGCTTCGTATTCGAAATGTACGAATTCTACCATCAGAATTGTTTTTGATTCTTGTAAAACAGAATATAGAGAATAATTTAAAATGATTTTTCTTCGATTTTGCATTTGGTTTTCTTGATATTGGGCTTTTTTAGAAAGAATGTACTGTATCTCCCGAATGCGAGGATGTAGCGATGGCAAGGATGTAGCGATCCTATCGACGTCAGTTGCATTAAATCTGTAAACAGATAATTGTTCTATGATTACGGAAAAAATTCGGGGCTCAAAGGGTTAAAAAAGTGCATCTATAACGACAACTACAAATTTCAGTATTTCTTAATGGACAATTTTTCAAAAATTGATAAAGCATGGTAGGGTGGAACATATGTATAAAATCCTCAAAATTCCAAAAATTAGATGGCAAAATTATATGATACTCATGTAGGAATATTCGAACATGTTGAGTTATCATTTTATGAGGGGCTACATATAATTAAGGACTGATATAGCATTCCTACAAAATTAATACGGCTATTCAGGATAACTTTAAGTGGCACAAGATCAGCAGTTAAAGTAGGAAAGGACCTATCGAAGCCCTTCAATACCGAACGAGGATTCAGACAAGGTGGCAGTATGTCGTGTGATCTTTTTAACATCCTACTAGAAAAGGTCACACGAGACGCAAAGGTGAACAGAAATGGCACTTTGTACACCAAACAACACATGTTACTCGCCTACGTCAATGACATCGATATAATGGGTCGAACATTGCAACAGCCACCTTTGAACAAATTGAAAAAGCGTCTGCCAAAGTGGGTCTGGCAGTAAACGACGAGAAGACCAAGCTGATGGTATCAACGCGCAAGACGTCCAGTAGACTCGGAACAACTGTGGAACTTGAGAACAACAGCTTCGAGGTAGTTAAAGACTTTATCGCTGGCTTAACTGGTAAAAGCAGCAAGTCCATATTTTATAATTTTACAGGAGAGACAAAAAACTATACAATTTTTTTTTGAATAAATATTTTTTAAATCTGTAAATGCGATTGGTTTTCATATGTTATGAGTATTTAATTTGTGTAAAAATAAAATTAAAAAAATATATATGTTTGGGGGATATACACGCATTTGTGGACTTAGAGCTTTTTCTGTTTCTTAGTATGTATGTTTTCTTGGACTTATGCCTTTTTCTTACAACTTGTCTCTCATTTTGTTTCTTACTTACTGCAATGAAAGTATACTTTTGTTACTTTTTTATTGTTTTGCAATGATAATAAAAGATTTTATGTTTTGATTGTTTTAAAAAAATAAACCCAATTTATTTAATAATATATGTACAAAATGAAAAGTATGAAAAATTATTTTTTTTAAATGAAAATTAAATCAGTCTTATTTCAATGCTGAAAAAAATTATATTATATTAAATTCATTTTATTCATGTGGCAAATTGTCATAAAATTTGTGACATTTTTTGGGCAAAGAAGATTTTAAATATTGTAAGTCTTCGTACTTTCTGGCTTTTATTTTTCTTCGCTCTCGTCGAAGTTGTTGTAAATCTGACCAATCCCGTGCGACTAAATTTGCATTTATTTTTTGTGGGAGTTTTTTCCATTCTTCGGGAAATCTGAGTTTAAAATTAATTTCGCCATTAGGTGTATATGGCATTCCTCGAATGTCTGTTACTTTGTGATCGCCTTTTCCACGGCCCGGGCGAATATTATTACAAAATTTTACACTGTTAAATTTTTTAAAAAAGGAATAATCCAAATATGTAACCTCATAAGGTTCAGGATTTTTTCTTGCTGATTTACATATTCCAATATATTCAGCTGGTACATTAACATTTCTATTTTTGGTGGCTCGTTCTATCATAGAGTGTACACTATCCGCTTCCATTTGTGTATGACCAATTTCCAATATTTTTTGCTCAATTGTTACTTTATGTTTGACGGCAGCATTCAGCAAGGCATTGGCCATTACACAATTACGGTTCTGGTATGTGCAACCGTCACTATAAAATATTATTTTTACCGGATTGCTATTTTCACTTAGAATTTTTTTCTCCACAAAGTAAACCCATATACTCGCAAATTCTTCGGCCTTAAGCCCTCCTTCTACTTCATCCCACAAAAAACAATACCCTTTTTGGTTTCTTAGATTGTAGAAAACTAAATTATGAACCTGTAATTTTGTACGGTAATATAGGCTGCTAACATTGGATTTTGGGGCCATTAGAACCGCTTGCAGGTCTACTGTAAAAACATATGTTTCCTCTTTTTTATCATATCTAGCCTCGTTTTTTTTCTGTTGGTGAAGGGCATATTCTTCATAAGGGAGATTATCGACTGAATAACGTGCACACAATTCGCATTGATCTTTTTTAGGTAGAAACAATGCCAAATTTTTTAAATCAAATGTTTTATAAAATGCGGCAATTGAAAGTGACTTCATTTTTTTCTCTTTGCACCAATCATTCACATAGAAATCGTACAGACCCTTCTTTGAGCTCCATTCCTGCAACAGGTATTTCTTTTGGGTATCAGCACGACAGTAATGCGATTCCATTGATGGAAGGGCATCGAAAAATTAATTAAGACATAGTCTTTCACTTGAGTCTTTCCTTGGAGTATTTTTCCTTGAACTTGAAGTTGGGGGCTTATTCAACCAATTATACACAGCCTTTTCACCAACATCCAACGTATTTAAAAAATATTTTTTGCACACTCGCATATTTTTGCCATGTATCTTGAAGTAATATTTTCAAGTTATATTTCTTTTTGATTTAGATACAATTTTTCTATTTGTGTGTTTACATAAACTTTTTTGTTCCCAATTCATGTTCCAAAATTTTTTAAAAATATTTTTTTCTTTCATCGTTATTTATCTCCGCACATTTCATGGTGCCATATTTTTTACATCTGCATCTACCCTTCATTATTCTCGATTCTTTCACCTTTTTGTAATTCCAAACATTGTTTTCCTTTACTCTTCCAAAATATTTTTTTCCATTCTCTCTGCGCATTCTATTTTTGACCGCAACCCAAGTTGCATTTTCAACTTGGACTCTTTTTTTGCGAGATTTACATGGAGTTGGTAACTCGTTGGAATCTTCAGAGTCAGTATGGAACCCATATGGTACCAGACCTATGACTCCATCGTCCAACTCAAATCCATAATCAACAGGTTGATTTTCGAAATTGTTGTTAACATTAAATGACATGGTAGGCGTCTATTTAAATAATAATTAACAATATATTTTACCAAATTAATATGTTGTAATGCAGTTATCTTAAGCACTATTAATTAAACACTTACTTTGTTTTTAAAAAACTGTACACTGAATATTTTAAAATATTTTGCCAATTTCAACACGTGTGATTAACCTGTTAATGTACTCACTAGACTGATCGATGTTCATACGATTAATAGCTTGATTCTAAATGATTTTAAATGAAACAATTGATAATACAGCACTGGAAGAAGTGAGATATTACGCAAACTTGTGATAAGTCAGACTTAGCTCTCTTTCTCATCACTACAAAACAAAAACAAATAATATAACTGTATATTTTTGTTTCAATTGACATAACAACATCAAATCTCAATTTATTGACAAATTGGACTTACAGCCTTTACATGTTGTTAAGCCAGCGACATGTTCTAAATTAGATTTACCGCCTTTACTCATCACTACAAAACTACAACAACAAATGAGATAACTGTATTTTTAAAAAAAAATCGATGTATTTTTATTAATTGAACATGTTTGCATCAAAATCTCAATTTCAAGCAAAAGTGGACTTACTGCCTTTACCAGTTAAGCCAGCGTTATATACTTTGGTACCGCCATAAATAAAACGAATGACATCAGTTTTGAAATTCGAAGAAGGATTGTGATGGCAACCGATGCTACTATGTTCTGGACAAACAACTCAAAAGCAAGGCCACCTCCCGCCAGACCAAACTCACACTTTACAAGACGCTGATACTACCCGTGCTATTATATGGATCAGAAGCATGGGTACTTGCGCAAGCAGATGAGACAGCTCTTAGGGTGTTTGAAAGAAAAATTCTCCGAAAGATCTACGGGCCGATCTGCGTCGACGGTGAATATCGGCGTCGAATGAACCACGAGCTCTACAATTTATACGCGGACATCGACATAGTCAGTCGTATTGAGCTGCAGCGACTACGGTGGCTAGGTCATGTTGTGCGGATGAATGAGAATGCCCCAGCTCAAAAGGCATATAAAAACGAGCC